TGCAGGTATCGCCTTGAATTTCTTAGGGCACCTAGGTACCAGCGTGAAAAGTTCCTCGCCGGAATTTGGTAGTCATCGTACCTTTGGTTCCAGCGTGGCGCATGCGCGAAGTCAAAAGAAATTACGGTCGATTTTGGGATTTTGGGTATATTTCGGAGTGTTTTGGTATGTGACGGTGGATCGGGGACCCAGATTGATCTATTACAATGCACCCGATACGTTTAAGGTCATGCGCCTGTAACGGGAAAAATGTTAACCATTGTCAACGCTTACAAGCAGTGACAAGGTATACCGTCATACCGCACGGTATTCTTGTCAAACGTTAGAAGCGTGGACGCGATAAGAAGCCATGCGCATTTTGCGCGAGCACGATGCGCATCCGCCATTTTATAAGCCGCTTTTGTCCTTGCTTCAGTTATTCATTATCTCGTAGATATTTTTGAATTGTGTGTACACAAGAAGCTCTCTGATCGAAAACAGGTAGATAAACCAAAGCTGCACTATAATAAGACAAGAGGCCCCCAAAATATTGAGTAGATATAGCCTAGACTAGATATGGCCCAGCAAAACAAGTAGGCCTACTCCGAAGGCCTAGATATCTTTATAATTATTATTACACTAATTACTTAAGCCTAACCCCTTTCAAAATATTTATATTGTAATACATATAACAGAGTGGTTGGCTTTGCTACACAGGCACGTGGTTTTTCATAACATAAAAGTATAAAATTGTAGGCTGGAGTTGTCTCCCTTTCAAGAAAACCCACGAGGTTGGACAGACGACTCTCATCTGCACCACTGATCTATGATAAAAAGAACCAAGCAGAGGTAATTGAAACTTTTACATAACTAGGAAATTAAGGAAATGAAATTTTACTAATGATCTTTGAGGTGAGTAGTAAACAGATGTTAATGAAATTAAATGAGGTGTAACATCCTACTTTTCTGCACCAACTGGGTTCATTTAGGCGGGCATATTGCTTGCAATGTGCTGAGGGAAATTTTGCCAGAGAGAGAGAGAGAAATGGGATTTAACGTCCACTCGACACAAACTAGGTCATTTCGGGACTAACATGGTTTAATTTTATTTCAATAATTCGCTTGCGCGTAGGGGTTTTTATTTCGCAGTGGGAGGAAACCTGAGGACCCGGAGAAAACCCACAAGGTTGGACAGGCGACCATAGTCCTTGTCACATACAACCGGGGATTCGAAACCACATCAGTTGATTCAATGACAGGCTTTATGATACAGCGAGCGTGCTAACCATTCGGCCATCCAACCCCTCAAATTTTGCCAGTCAGTGACATTTCCGCTTCTTCTTAATCGAATTACATTCATCAAGGGTTCTTTTGTACATGTAAATGGGAACTTGTTTTTTTTGTCCCATATCAATGACAAGACACTATTCCATGTCAGGCCCTACGTGGTGCAAATTTTGTGTGAATGGAAATATGTGTTCTAATAAATTGTATTTTTTTGAAAATAGGATTGTTCCCAATTTCAAGCTGGTAGTGTGCTCAGAACCAAAAGAAAAATGTCAAAATTAGATGTGACTGGGCTATTTGGGGCTATATGCAAGCATGATATACCGATATGTTTTATCGACAGGATTCATGGAGAAAGGTATACAAAATAGTTATTTTATTTTTAAGGATTTTATGTAGATTATCTTTGAAAATGCAGTACAATGCATTAGTCTATATTACTATTTATAATATATTTCATCTGCATAGTACATTTATCTATTTATAATATATTTCATCTGCATAGTACATTTATTTATAGTTAAAGTTTAGTTCTTTTTGACAACTGCATTGGATGAACTAAGTTATAGTTACCATGCAACTTATTTCCACCATTTTCTAATCGCGATGAACAGTATTTATGACATAAAGCCTCAGTTTTAACAGAATAAAATTCAAATACATAATTGTTTCAAGTAACTGTACTGTAAATACATTTTAGTAATATTAACTGAACAATTCAATTTTATTTTGTGTTGAAAATTAGACTTGGGTATGCAGTTTATGTGTTAAAGAAATTAATTGAGAAAAAAGATACTTATGTTAATAAGATTGCCATGTATGACATATCTTGCACATTACACAAACACTTGCAGGTATGTATAGAGTCTTGTCTATGCATGCATGAATATGTTGACACTTTTTGGAGCATATCAACCTGTTAATTGATTGTATTGAGATATTGTTAAATACCATGATTATGCTATAATTTTGTGGACACGTTACAAGTATGTAATGAAATCCAAATAAAGACAAGTTAAGGTGGATTAGTGTTAAGAGTTAAGTTAAGCTCTGTATAAACTGATGGTTTACAATCCCCAAGCTAGATTGGAGGTTGAAATTGAAGAGACATGTCCATGTGCCTTAATTTTATAGAGGAAATAAACATGAATAAATGTCATTAAAATCTCACTATATTTGTTTATGAAATATTAGTAATATTATTTTTATTTCAAAACTGCAAGTTAATGTATGGTTTACCCCCAGTCCTTTGCATTGTCAGAATTTACTTCAATTTGAATATAGACAAAAGCCAGCGTTGTCAATATGTGATGTCATACATTGAACTACCGGGCAACAATTATTACACATTGCTTAGATATAATTATATTGCTTTATATTTACTTTCATGTTCTTACAACTATTTTTTATTTTAACAGAAAACTGAGAATTTTCAATTGTTAGATCACTATAATTTTTCTGTACCAGTATTCCACAGTTTTGCTCACAACCTAGACTGTCAGGTAAACTCACAGTATTAGTAATATTCAATATATTTCACAAATTAAAATGTGGATTATATGGATGGAATGTTATTAATGTCAACATTTGATTCATATTTCATTCTACCTGTCAAATATTTTCAATTGAAATACTTTCTCTCTCAGTGTTGCATGATAATTTAAACCCTACATGAAATCTATATTAAAGAATCGTTAATTCTATAAGACATTGCAGTATTATGTAATAAATATCAACAAGTATTTTATTAATCTTTTCTTTAAATATGGTCAGAGATATCAGATATGTGACTGGCACAGGAATGACAGATGAAGAAGGCATTGAACGTCTATGGAGCTACCTACGAATATTCAAAAGAATAACCAAAGAAATGTCATATGATAACAGATGTGATTTACTGACAGAAGCAGTTCTTCATAAGATATCATAGATTATCTCCGATTTTGGTAATGATTATTCATGATTTACTAGATTAGATAAATCCACAAAAAAATAAAGACATAGCTCTATTGACGTTAGTGAGACAAAATAGCATATTTAATTTCTGGTAATTACATTTATAGCTATTGCCTTTAATGAATTTGTCTTTTCTTTTAGAGTTATGATGCTAGATCATTTATGAACAATTTCGTTGACTCCTAGAATTTGAAATTATTGTGTTTATTAGGAATGTATGCATTGCATACGTTAGAAAGATGGTCCAAGCTTTTACTGTGGCATTTAAGAGGAACCCAGTTGAGATTTAGGATTGTGTATCAATATTATGCAGGCTTTTTGGAATTTTTCTCTTTTCAGTTTTGTTTGGATTGTTCTGCAAATCTTTATTAGGAACCCTATTTAGTTTTATGTGAAAACTTGAGGTCACAATTTTGGGGGATTAATTTAAGAATACAATGACCAATTTGCCACCCTTCAAAAAGCTGCTGAGAGGCATATATGGATTGCCTGCCAAAAATTATGTTGACCAGGACTTGATGGCCATCTACGTGTATTATATTCTAGGTAGTAAGAGCAGTTTCTCACCATTTTTCATCAAATGTAAATGGAACCCAGGTCCTAGTGTTATTAGCTTGCTCTTCTTTTTCAGGTACACGTTTACATAGTAAAATATAGAAAGCTGAAAAAACAATATCAAACTGTTCAGAAATTATTAGTAGTGTAACAACTAATATGAATGGTAATAAGCTTAAATAATTTCATTACATTGTCGTAAACATATATGGTCACTACACATGTGATATAAGTAAAATTAATGTGTTCAAATTTAATAGAAAGGCAATATATTGTTAATTACATGCCTCACATGCCAAACAGACAAGCAAGATTCTATATTATTGGAACAACAAGGTCTTGAAAAATTAGCTTGATCTTAGAAAATGATTGCGGGCAGTATTTGATTAGACATTGTAACCTGGATATCATTTAATCTTGTGTATTTTGCCCTAATTTCGTTCACATTCATTGAATATCAAATCTTTGTCTAAAAACTCGTAAACATCATTTGATATTGTACTTGTGTCCAGTTTAAAGCTGATTCATTGATTTTGATAATGAGTGTTTAATTTCCTGACCACTGTTCAAAAATTAATCATTATACATCAATAATCAATTAGGTGGTTTATTTTATAACAGTGATCAAGAAATTAGACACTTGTAATTTGGGACATTTATTATCAAAATTGAATTGTCCGCTAAACCGGACACAAGTACAAATTAGATGATTTGTGGTGATTTTAAGCGATTATTTTTTTTCAAGTTTTTAAACAAAGATTTGATATTGAATGAATGTGAAAGAAATAAGTGCTAAATACACAAGATGAAATGATACCCAAGTTACAGTGTGACCTTCTTATGATTGATTTGTTAATAATAAATACACATTTCTTTTTCAGTTGATATTGATTCTGCAAAGAATTGGCTGATGAAATGGAAATCTGAACTGGATAATGTCCCTGGTAAGCTTCATAATTTTTATACGCCCTGTTTGATGTGGATGTATATTATCTCCAGTTGGATCCATCCACAATTTCATATGAACATACTACCTGTCAAAGAGTTCTTGACAGATTTTGTTGAATTGTTCATAAGCCCTGTCTATGTTTCTGTTTAGCAACTTGAATAACTATTTACAGGCTATACTGGTACATTGGTGTCATGAACTAATTATGATATTTATCCTAGTTTCATATACTCTGTATCGTATTGGCTACCATGTACATGTTGCATAATAACTTATCTTTTTTTCTATTTAAGCAACTAATTTAAATTCCGAAGAATTATATGTTGAGAATTTGTATGTTAGTCAGATGAAAAGGTAAATATACATAAATGTAACTTGTTTTTTTTCAAAGATAAGATTTCTGACACTTTTGGTTGTGTAGTGTTGTAGGTTGGGACGTTTTTGTGTCTTTTATTAAAGCTTTATTTATCCAAACAAGGTTTGGGAGATGCCAGGTAGAGAGAACCCTGGGCTCACCAACCTAAAATGTGTCGGAAAATTGAAAGATAGCAACGCTATGATATATTATTATTACGCACTTATACTGCACACAACTGCTACATAAATGTGATCAAGGGTGCTTTACAAGGACATATTATAGAATAAAACACTATTACATTTACATGATAAATTTTTGTTTAGATAGAATTACATGTAATTAAATATAGCACTGGATAATCTACCTATTAAAATCACACATGTACCATTGTATAAATATGCTGGTACAGTGCTTAGAAATGACCATTGTTATAATATAGCAGTTTAAAAATGAAATTATTATAATAATAACAGTAATTGTACATTAAATGTCTGGTAATCATATGATGATAAATTATACAAGTGCTGTATAATGATGATTAATAATGTACATTTTTTGTGTTAATTCATCAAATATTTATTGTAGACGCATCCTAGAAACAGGTCCTACCGATCTAACAGAAAAGAAAAAGATTGAGAGAGATCTAGAAAGGTATTACGAATGTATAGTATATTAACATCAACTTTAGCACTTTATAAAATGCTTTAGGCTATTTTCGTAAAACTATGCTAAATATAACAAAATCAAATGAACTAGTTATCAAAATTTCCTGTACAGGTCTACTTAGATCATATAGCCTTTGTCCAAAAGCATCTGCTGAAATATTAAGGACATTATAACTTTAAGACATCTATAGCTGACAGATGGTTTTGGTTTTGCAGTTCTCTTGTAAATTTTACAGGCAATCTTATTTGAACATCCCTGGTATAACTGTCAAACCACGCCAAATCAAAAACAAAGTTTTACCAGATGGAGAAGTTCTCATGAGTTCGAATGTCTCTTCAAGTAATCCCAAGTTCATATTCATGTAAAAGCAGATAATTGAGGCTATTTAATCAAAATTTTGTCTGTACTTACTGCAGTTTAATTTGTTGATCATTGAAATCATTTGGTTATCAGTGTCTTTCTGTGCATAATTAATAAGCCTACTGGAATCTGATTGGTCAATATCAACTATTAATATATCTTTATAATAAATCTGTAGTTGGGAGTCCTTGCATTTAATATCGATGCCGTCTGTACATATTTAAGATTGGGTGTGGGCATATGTTGCATTTACTATTATCTACCCATCCTGTGAACACTCTATTCACTGACGACATTTTGGACCACAGCTAACTCGGATTGCTTGTTTTTAATACCATAATTTGCTTTTTTGTTTAAGCCTCAAGAAAGAAAGAGCCAAATTAAAAAAGAATGTGTGCAATTCAGTTGTAGAAAGTGATGTCAATTTTGAAAATGAGCCTTTTAATCGTATTTTGAAAAGTGCTAAAAAAAAGCGCATTATTAATAGCCTTGAAAAACTAAGACATTATTCCAGTGAACGACAGTATTTGTCTTCATTGATGAAAAAGTATGCAGGTAAGTAATCAGTTATATAAAACTGCTTCATTGTAATAATAGAAGGATGGCATGCGCTTTAGATCGTAAGGTCTGTCATTGAGTCAAGTAAAATGTTTTTTATTCTTGCTTGTACATGACAAGGAGTAGGCTCACCTGTCTAACCTGGTGGTGTATCTCCCCCCCCCCCCCCCCCACTGGTAAAGACCCCTAGACGCAACTAAATTAATGAAATTGGAACATAAGTTAGTTTCGAAATAGCCCGGTTTGTGTTGAGTGGACAGGAAACACAATTTTAACAGAAGGGTTACAGAAGAACTTCACTATTTTCAAGCTCAGTTCCACTATTTGTGAGTAACTCATTTTGAACTGAGGGAATTGTACATTGTCATTTACAGGGATGGAAATAGAGGACCAATATTATCACATATATCGGTGTTAATTATGAGACTGTATTTGTTAGTCTCAAAACAGCCAGTTGATATATTCATAGTTATATATATGTAAAAATTATATCAGAGAATATCGTCAACAGAACAATAATAATAGAAAGAATATAGTATAATTAGTGTATATATCTATTTTCAGATGGTCAAGTTTTGGGCTCCTGTATCAGTAGAAAGTTGACGGCAAATTCTGGAAAAATTAGAAAAGAATTAACTTTTTTTAACGATGGACATTTTGCGTCCAGGACAGAGTTCTGTGATGTTTCTTTACCAACATTACCAATTTTTGATGAATTGTCAGAGTGTTCTTTGAATTCAGATCAAATTAAAGTTGCAGAAGCAGTTTCTCTGAAAGAACATGCACATGAAGAAATAACAGTCGTTCATTGTGAAATTGCTACTTATCACCGTTACTTGTTGAGTGCAACCTTGTCGGCACGGAAACCATCAAAGGCGAAATTCAAATTTTTGAAATATTCAAATACCAAACATTTGACCATGATCCAGACTATCCTGAAATTTGGTACTCATGGTACCTTTGGTTCCAGCATAGCGCATGCGCGAAGTCAAAACCAGCTAAACTCGAAAACAACCTTGTCGGCATGGAAAACATCAAAGGCGAAATTCGAATTTTTGAAATATTCAAATACCAAACATTCGACCATGATCCGGCTATCCTGAAATGTATTAATTTCGTAATAGGAGGCAGATTCTCTAAGCCACGACCAATTGTGTTTGTTTTCAAGGCCATTAATGTGGATTTTTCACTATTTTTCATTTTCAAGTCAAAATGGCGTCCATCAGTTGACCTAAATCAAAATTCTACTTCCTACATTTTATGGGCTTTCCTTCAAGGATTTGGAATAAAAAAAATAAAATAAAACCAAGTACGAACAATCCAAACCATAAGACAGAATTCAAAGTCCTAAAAAACGTTATAGGCAAAATAGTATATTCAGGCAAAATAGTGTAATCAGTAAATGGAATGCTCCTCGTGTACAAAATACACGACAAACAGTGGTAACAGGTGTCCAGAAGAGTAAGCTTACCCTGCCTGGCGCCACAGCTGCATCCAAACTATTAGGCAATATAATTCCCTTGTCTGTAAGTAAAATATCAAAAAAGCCGTAGCGATATTTCACATTTCAAGATGGTGACACTTCCGGTTTGGGCTACAAACTCCATTTTTTGTGTACGAATCAGTAGTGTCGTAGTTAGTACAGAAAAAAAAATTCAAGGCAATCTGACCTATATTTCGTCGATTTTTTTGAAAACTTTGATCCCTAATTTCATCAAGGGGAGATAATTTAGAAAATTTCTTTTGACATTTTTCAAGTCGCATCGGTAAGATTTACTTACATACTAAATTACAGGTACCGCAGTGTGTCCATGACAGAGCTCAGGGCCGCTCTCCGGTTCCCTTTTTATAACTTTTCCCTTATCCCCCAAATAATGTAGATAGCTCTATCGCACGCTCTAAACCAGGGATGTTTACCACCTTGTTGTCCTCCCCTTAGTTTAGATAACTCGGCAGCCATAGCTTCCTCTCTGTCGCTCCTTCTAATGAAGGGATGTTTACCACCTTGTTGTCCTCCCAATAGTTTAGATACCAAGGGGGCTAAAGCTGGGAGGGCCATAGCGAGCAATGCACCGAAGGAACCACCTTGTTGATTGAGAAGTCGCTGTTTGAAGGCGGGTGATGTTCGTGGATTAGTCAATTTGCAAAGCAATGCTTGATATTGGTTCAACTCCTCGGGACTCAGACCCCTTCCGCGCTGGACGTTCCGTCGAACGAATTTATTTCGTTTCTTGTTTCTTTCCTCTTGCAGTCTTTCCTTCCATCGCAGCAAGATACGAATCAACACCCCCCCGAAGAACCCACATCCCCGGGTTTCATGATGAGAGAGAGTTTTTCGGCCATCGGCATGTTTCTCTCCGTCAGTTGGCTCAACACTTGTCGATTTCATTCCACCCATTTCTTATGCTGGGCGTGCAGTGGTTGAATGTTACCATTCAGCAAATGGTTGGCCGCCAACTTGAAACACTGCAACAATCCAAGACCTCTAGAGCATCCATAAGATTTTTTGAATTGATCAAGGGCCATAACTCTTGTAGTAATTATCGGAAATTGCTGAAAATCAAAAGGCTTCTTCGTCTCATGACCTTAAACACTGTGTATAAATTTAAAGTCAATCGGATATTAACTCTGACCTCTAGAGCTTCCACAAGATTTTTTGAAGCGATCAAGGGCCATAACTCTGGCAGTAATTATCGGAAATCGCTGAAAATCAATAGGCTTCTTTGTCTCATGACCTTAAACACTGTGTATAAATTTAAACTCCATCGGATATTAACTTTAGCCTCTAGAGCGTCCACAAGATTTTTCAAAGTGATCAAGGGCCATAACTCAGGCAGTAATTATCGGGAATCGCTGAAAATCAATAGGCTTCTTCGTCTAATGACCTTAAACAATGTGTATAAATCTAAAGTCAATCGGATATTAACTTTAGCCTCTAGAGCATTTACAAGATTTTTCAAAGTGATCAAGGGCCATAACTCTGGCAGTAATTATCGAAAATCGCTGAAAATGAATAAACTTCTTTGTCTCATGACCTTAAACACTGTGTATAAATTTAAACTCAATCGGATATTAACTTTAGCCTCTAGAGCGTCCACAAGATTTTTCAAAGTGATCAAGGGCCATAACTCTGGCAGTAATTATCGGAAATCGCTGAAAATCAATAGGCTTCTTCGTCTCATGACCTTAAATTTAAAGTCAATCGGATATTAACTTTGACCTCTAGAGCATCCATAAGATTTTTTGAATTGATCAAGGGCCATAACTCTTGTAGTAATTATCGGAAATTGCTGAAAATCAAAAGGCTTCTTCGTCTCATGACCTTAAACACTGTGTATAAATTTAAAGTCAATCGGATATTAACTCTGACCTCTAGAGCTTCCACAAGATTTTTTGAAGCGATCAAGGGCCATAACTCTGGCAGTAATTATCGGAAATCGCTGAAAATCAATAGGCTTCTTTGTCTCATGACCTTAAACACTGTGTATAAATTTAAACTCCATCGGATATTAACTTTAGCCTCTAGAGCGTCCACAAGATTTTTCAAAGTGATCAAGGGCCATAACTCAGGCAGTAATTATCGGGAATCGCTGAAAATCAATAGGCTTCTTCGTCTAATGACCTTAAACAATGTGTATAAATCTAAAGTCAATCGGATATTAACTTTAGCCTCTAGAGCATTTACAAGATTTTTCAAAGTGATCAAGGGCCATAACTCTGGCAGTAATTATCGAAAATCGCTGAAAATGAATAAACTTCTTTGTCTCATAACCTTAAACACTGTGTATAAATTTAAACTCAATCGGATATTAACTTTAGCCTCTAGAGCATTTACAAGATTTTTCAAAGTGATCAAGGGCCATAACTCTGGCAGTAATTATCGAAAATCGCTGAAAATGAATAAACTTCTTTGTCTCATAACCTTAAACACTGTGTATAAATTTAAACTCAATCGGATATTAACTTTAGCCTCTAGAGCGTCCAGAAGATTTTTCAAAGTGATCAAGGGCCATAACTCTGGCAGTAATTATCGGAAATCGCTGAAAATCAATAGGCTTCTTCGTCTCATGACCTTAAATTTAAAGTCAATCGGATATTAACTTTGACCTCTAGAGCATCCATAAGATTTTTTGAATTGATCAAGGGCCATAACTCTTGAAGTAATTATCGGAAATTGCTGAAAATCAAAAGGCTTCTTCGTCTCATGACCTTAAACACTGTGTATAAATTTAAAGTCAATCGGATATTAACTCTGACCTCTAGAGCGTCCACAAGATTTTTTGAAGCGATCAAGGGCCATAACTCTGGCAGTAATTATCGGAAATCGCTGAAAATCAATAGGCTTCTTCGTCTCATGACCTTAAACACTGTGTATAACTTTGAAGTCAATCGGATATTAACTTTAGCCTCTAGAGCGTCCACAAGCAATTGTGGACGCCGGACCGACAGACGGACGGAAGGACGGACGGACGGGGGCGACGACAATATACGACCACATTTCAATGTGGGCGTATAAAAACTATAAGTATGCTAAAGACAAGGATGAACCTGCATCGGCAGCATATACTCAATCCACAATATAGGATGATCCCACTTAGTGAACATATAGATGTTTGTGGTGGTTGCAAATTTAGTGTTTTTCCAATGTACAAGCTAAATAACAATAATAATGATTTGTTAGAAGCCAAAGAAGCATATTTTATTGACAAATATCGGCCAGCTTTAAATGTAAAATTATAGTAGTTTCATTGCACATAGGCCTAGTTATTGTTATCTGATTTGATATTCTATTAAATGTCCCTTTTTTGTACTACTGTGTTACTATGACGTCATAGTCATTATTGTATTAACTAAATGTTGTTTACCTGAAGAGCTTAATAAAATAAGCGAAAGTGCTAGTAATCAACAAATAATGTAGTTCTTTTTTCAAAAACTTTTATATTTTTGTGTATTTAATACCTAAGAGTAGTTATCTTAACTTTTCATATATTCAATACGCTCTTATGGCTGGACAAGGAACTAAACAACAAATTGAGAAGTTCACCAAGGTTGTCAACGACTTAGCAGGGAAAGTTGGCATACTAACTGTCAAACAAGACCGAACATTCTCCTTGGTGCAAGATGTGTTCACTCTTGCAAAAAAATGCCTAGAAAGTCCTACGTACAGGTGAGAGGAATGTTTATACCATCGTCGATAAATTGGACGACGTGATAAAACAAATCCGTCCAACAGTCCACTTGACAACGGCGACAGAACCAGTAACTCCAGGAAACCACCGTTCAGAGTTGGAAGAAGTAAAAGCGATAAAGCTTAAGATCCAAAAAATCAGGAACATTAAAAAGCTATCCCGCAAAAAATCGTTTGCCAAACATCACCAAACACAAACTCAAGCCAACAGGGTTAATAGGGACAATCCACTGCTTCCCCTAAAATTTCGAATAAAACCTGTGCCTGGTCAATCTGAAGACATCATCCAACTTCGATATAAACTTGCAGTGTACAAGTTTAATACACAGATCGGGTCCATGAAGATCAGTGCAGAGACTTTCGGAAAGAAATGGCAAAAAGTGGACCAAGAAATGACTGAGCTTTTCTTTGAAAATGCTCTTAATGAACACATGTTAGAATTGTTAAACAATGAATGAAGACAAGATTGCTTAGCAGCAGAAACATCGGCAATACAAGAGTGGAGTAAAAAGCAGGAGTGGCTAGAAGGTTACGAGACAAAATATGGGAATGATAAAATACATAAACCCACAAAAGGACCACAACCTGATCAAAAACGCCAAAGGAAGAAAAATAATCAAGATATCCGATCACAACAAAGGGAAAATCGAACGCCCCTAGATCAATCTTGTGCAGATCACCGCAACTCTCCAGGGTCAAGAAGGAGACCACCACAGAGAAGATCAACAAAAAGATCACCCCAGAGAAGATCGACACAAAGAAAGCCTATGCAGCGAAGATCACCTCAGCGCAATTGTTATAATAAGAATGATTCAGACCAAATGAAGAAAGATAGGTTTTTTGAAGGGATCAAGGGCCATAACTCTGGCAGTAATTATCGGAAATCGCTGAAAATCAATAGGCTTCTTTGTCTCATGACTTTAAACACTGTGTAAATTTAAAGTCAATCGGATATTAACTTTAGCTTCTAGAGCTTCTACAAGATTTTTCAAAGTGATCAAGGGCCATAACTCTGGTAGTAATTATCGGAAATCACTGAAAATCAATAGGCTTCTTCGTCTCATGACCTTAAACACTGTGTAAATTTAAAGTCAATCGGATATTAACTTTAGCCTATAGAGCATTTACAAGATTTTTCAAAGTGATCAAGGGCCATAACTCTGGCAGTAATTATCGGAAATCGCTGAAAATCAATAGGATTCTTCGTCTCATGACTTTAAACACTGTGTATAAATTTAAAGTCAATCGGATATTAACTTTAGACTCTAAAGCGTCCACAAGATTTTTCAAAGTGATCAAGGGCCATAACTCTGGCAGTAATTATCGAAAATTGCTGAAAATCAATTGGCTTCCTCGTCGCATGACCCTAAACACTGTGTATAAATCTAAAGTCAATTGGATATTAACTTTAGCCGGACCGACCGACAGACGGGGGCGACAACAATTTCAATGTGGGCGTATAAAAGCACAGGTATGAACTTATCAGTAGATTGTCTGCGATATCACCTCGGTGGAAGCGGACGTTAAATAAAACTAACTCACACACACACTTATCAGTAGACACCAGTGAATACTTCATTGGTTTTTCTTAGTGTGCGTTCAAAATTTCGCAGCACACTGGTTGAGAATCACTGGATTAGGCTTTTGATACTTTATACAGAACCCTTGATGTCACTTTACTAGGATTAACAGGAGACCCACAAATGATAATTTCACTTACTATCTGTTCTTTAAAGGCTTAGCTTATTGGGAAGTATATAAAGCAGCGCTATCTAAAGGCTGAAAACCATGAGGATGTTCATAAAATTGGGGTAGAGTTTAGAAGGCATTTTTATACGCCCACATTGAAATGTGGTCGTATATTGTTGTTGTTCCCGTCCGTCGGTCCGGCATCCACAATTGCTTGTGGACGCTCTAGAGGCTAAAGTTAATATATGATATGTCTATATTCTTTTATTTACAACTTCATAATTTCAAATTTGTCATTCAGGTGGTGTTGGGCATTGTAACTCGATACTCACAAGTTTGGGTGGAGTGAACTAAACATGGATGACTAATCTTGGGTCAATTGAGACATTTAAATTGGGCATTTGAATTTTGAAGTCTCTCCTTCATAATATCAATGCTGGGATTTTTTAATGCAGTAGCTAAATATCATTGTAGAGGTTCTGGTGGAATAAAAAGACAAAATGGTGTATACATAACATAAATTTATATGGTGTGATGAATATTTGAAAGAAGCACATTCAGTCAGCTCATCCACATATTGTATTATATTATATAATATAAAGAAAATCTTTTCTTTATAAAAGTCAGTATACAATACATATAGCCATTTTTCTCCTCATTCATATTTCACACCAAAACAAGTAAAAATCATTTTATGATCACTACTGTACGATTCATAAACAGTTCATAGCAAATATATTTCTAAAATACCATCAATAATATAAATTTCATAAGTCATAAAAATGTGCATAATTATGAAATATTTTTATAAAAAGTGAAATGTATATTCAGAATAAAATAAAACGATTGACATCAACATGCACAGGACAAAAAATATATATCAGCGGTTGCCAGGCAAGATATGCCCATATTTTGCAAAATATGGTTAGAGAACAAGCTAATGGTCTGAAATGCACAAATATCAGAAGGGACTGAGATATTTGGGATATAAAGATATATTTAAATTTTCATTAAAATCAGATAAATCTAGAGGGTCCACAACCTTTGTATTACATACTTTTACACAATTTGCGTACAAAGAGCGACCATTTAGTCGGGCAGTTCAATTCGATTTTCCCAAAATTTGAATTCAACCTTCATTATGGTGGAATGGTGATATATTTAAACGGTTTTAAATATCGGATAAAAAAATTGTGACCTCTAGAGAATCCACAAGCTAAAAATGCAATTTTTTGAACAATCTGGGCCCATAATCCAGGAAGTTACATTCGGATATGCGCGATTATCAAAAAGAACCATGATCTTTGTGATATAAACATAAATTTATAGTTTCATCAAAATCGGATCACAATTGTGATATATTTAAACGGTTTTAAATATCGGATAAAAAAATTGTGACCTCTAGAGAATCCACAAACTAAAAATGCAATTTTTTGAACAATCTGGGACCATAATCCAGGAAGTTACATTCGGATATGCGCGATTATCAAAAAGAACCATGATCTTTGTGATATAAACATAAATTTATAGTTTCATCAAAATCGGATCACAATTGTGGCCTCGAGAGGGTCCAAAAACCTTGATATACCATATATTTACAATATTTGCATACGAGGGACGGCCATTTTGTCTGGCAGTTTGATCTGATTTTCAATCAGAGGCCATATTTCAGGAAATTGCAATCCAATATGTGCGAATATCGAAAGGAACAAAGATCTTTGGGTTATAAACATGCATTTCAAGTTTCATCAAAATCAGATGAAAATTGTGACCTCTAGAGTGTCCTCAAGCTAAAAACATGATTTTTCATACAATCAGGGCCATAATCCATGAAGTTTTGATCCGATATATGCCAATATCTAAAGGAACCAAGATCTTTTGGAGATAAACCTATATTTCAAGTTTCGTCAAAATCAGATAAGAATTGTGACCTTTAGAGTGCCCACAAACAAATTGTGGACGGACAGATGTCCGGATGGGGGCGACGACAACATACATTAAATGAACGAATATGAAGATGTGTTTTTCTTGTCACAAAGTGCATGAAACAAGCAGTCAAGTGATCTACATATTACTCAAACAGTGCTTTGTTGGTAACCCCTATGTCTTAATTCAATTAATTGTATTTTAAATTTTCTAAGTAATTTACATGTCAACTCATTGTATTTCCAAACTGCAACACAAAGTCACCAAATGAGTGTGGTTTTATTGCCAAATTTGTAAAATATATCTCCATATATCAAACATTTTATTCTTTTACTTTGAATTTGAAATATTGTTTTCAACCTATTACTATTTTGCAATAAATTCTTAACACCACATACAGATATATACAAAATTGGTATTAAAAATCTATATTATACACAAATAAAATGAAACTTTTTATGTGGAGTGAGGCTGATGTCCACCGCTGAAATCCCAAAACAAATAGATGACACATATTAATTAATTGCACATTTATCTTTTTCAAAAGTATTGAGTAATCAAACTAAATATTAAACCATAAATGTACATTATATCAGCTAATTAAATCATTGGTTTAGTCTAATTACGTCATAGGGAATTACACGGTTCACCTGCTAATAAAACAGCTTAGATAACTAAATAGTCTGTTAATTACTCAACACTGATCAGTAAAGTAAACAGTTGCAAATGCGACACTCATTAGGAATCCAATATTTTTCATTGATTCTGAATGAATTTTAAAAAGCTAACAGCGAGGCTGATGTCCCCTGCTGAAATCCCAAAATAAATAGATGACACATATTGATTTATTGCACATTTATCTTTTTCAAAAGTATTGAGCAATCAAACAGATTATTTTTACTTAGTCTTATAAGCATAAAATGTTCAAGATCAAACTCAGTCAAGGTTTTGACTCTCCATCAGTTAGAATCAAAGTTATATTGTCCCAAAGCAATCAACCAATGATGTAATGAAACTATGCACAAAGTTTCACCATTATCACTCAATTAAAATCAAAGTTGTCGAGCTCCAAAGTCTTGACACATCAAATTGCTTATCGCTCTGCTTACCCTGAGCTGAAAATGTTCATTATCAAATTTACTCAAGATATTGATGTAATGAAACTATACACCAAGTTTCATTACTCTCACTTCTCTCACTTATTACCCATCTTCATTAGCTCAGTTCAGAGCAGAACAGTAGGACGTTAAACCCCATTTCATTTCTCACTTAATTACAACTAAAATTATTGTGTCCCAAAGCATCAACCAATCAAATTGTTTATCTCTGCTTAGCCGTAGCAGAAAATGCTCATCTTCGAACTTCATCAAGGCATTCACCTAATGAACGCCTACACCAAGTTTGAACATTCTAGCTCAATTAAAAGGAAAGGTAATGTGTTGCAAAAAGTGTGATTTTTGTCTTCCAAATTCCTGCAAGCCTGTCAAATTATTTATACATTTAAGTTATACGTTTACACTTATAACATAGCACAAACAAAAACACAACTTTAAACAATAATGGCCAAAGTGAGATTTTAGCACAATTCACACAAAGAATTTTATGATAGTAGTCAGCTTTTCACTAGCAGTCCTCTGTTATAAACAATGACCATGAATTGTGTTGTTTGTTTCTAATTCTGTAGAATATCAGGAATTGTTTAATTGATCTGCAACTGGACTAACCTGGAACATAGAATAGAAAAAATATATCGGATCTATTAAAGTTACGAAGTGTAATTTGTGTTTTTCGCTAACATATATGAAATTTCTCATGGCTTAAAGGAGCTAAATCGCTAATATTTTGGACCTAGAAATTGGCACAAATGGGTTGCAACACATATAATAATGTAATATGAATTTATATAAACTGTTTTACATTCAATCGTGTCCGTTTTACTGTGAATTGTCATCAGTTATGTTCGGCGAAATACGCCATAAGTTTCAACCGCAAGTCAGTTTCTAGCGTCTGGTTATTCCAGTCAACACCGATATTATTTATTGAGCATGCTCTCCAAATAAGAACATAATATCACCGTTTGACATGACTTGTGGAATATGTCTAGCCTCATTCTTTGAGCACCTTGTTAAAATGGCGCTAAAACGCATTATGGTATACGATTCGTGTACCAATGGTAAAATGTTTATTTTGTCTTAAATATTGAATATCAGAAGCCCATCTTTTCCAGGTAAGATCACAACACCAATGCTGATTTAAATTGCAAAAAAATTTGTGTTTTCAATGTCTAAGATTTTGGATGATATTGAGTTACGGACTTAGCTACTTTAATCTAAGCTAATATGCACTCGGATCGAATATTTAACATTTAATCAAGAAAACAAAATCAAAATACCAACGCTAGATAATCTACCGGCTAGGATTCAATTGGATTTAAAACAGGCCTATCATTAAATTTTTGCAAAAAACAAATGGTTGCAGACTTATTACATAGAGAGCAGCATATATCAATGAAATTTCCATTCCACATATCTTTGTAAATACTGAACAGAATTGAACCATTTTTGTAACGGTGATATATTTGAACATTTTTTAAATCAGATAAAAATAGTGACCTCTAAGGGGACCACAAACTAAAAATGCAATTTTTCGTACAATCAGGGGCCATAATCCAGGAAGTTATGGTCTGATATGCGCGAACATCAAGAAGAACCAAGATCTTTGGGATATAAACACATATTTTGAGTTTCATCAAAATTGGATAATAAGCAGTTGCCATGCAAGATACACCCACATTTTGCAAGAGATGGACAGAGAACGAGCTAAAAAAAAAAATAATCTGATTTTTTGTACAATCAGGGGCCATAATTCAAGAAGTTATGGTCTGATATGCATGAATATCGAAAGGAACCCGGATCTTTGGGTTATGAACATACATTTCCAGTTTCATTTAAATCAAATAAAGATTGTGACTTCTAGAGGGTCCACAATCTTGGTATTACATACATTTACATACATGTGGCTAAGTAGGTAAGACGCTGGCTCGCTAGCCTGGAGGTCGGGTGTTCGATCCCTGCATTGGCCGAGAAAGTTCATCCAGATTTTCCAGCTTGGTTCCCCCCTTGTCAGTGATGCACAACAGCTGTCTAGTCCTTCGGATGAGATGAAAAACCGAGGTCCTGTGTATACATTGGAATGCATGTAAAAGATCCCTTGGCAGTTGGAATTCGATATAAGAGTAGGCGATAGTGCCGCTGCCCAGGCAAAAATTCCCTCATAGCAAACTGTATGGCGTATGCCTGTCTTCATTAGCCCAGCATAGGAGCAGAACAATAGGACGTTAAACTCAATTTCATTTCATACGAGCGGCCATTTTGTCAGGCAGTTTTAGTCTGATTTTCATGAAATTCAAACTCAACCATCATTAGGGTGTAACGGTGATATATTCAAACGTTTTTTTAAATTGGATAAAAATTGTTACCACTAGAGGGACCACAAGCTTAAAACGCGATTTTTTTATACAATCAAGGGCCATAATTCAGGAAGTTACGATCCGATATGCGCGAAATATCGAAAGGAAACAAGATCATTGAGTTATAAACATGTATTTCATGTTCCATCAAAATCGGTGTTACGTTGATATATTTCAATATCTTTTTAAATTGGATAAAAATTGTGACCTCTATTCAGGAAGTTAAGATCTGATATGCGCGAATATTGAAAGGAACCAAGATTTTTGTGATATAATGATAAATTTAAAGTTTCATCAAAATCGGTTCAAAATTGTGGCCTCTAGAGGATCCACAACCTTGATATATCATATTTTTACACTATTTGCGTACGAGGCTGGGCCATTTTGCCAGCTGTTTTGGTTCGATTTTCACGAAATTCGAACTCAACCATCATCAGGGTGTTACGGTGATTTATTTCAACGTTTTTTTTTAAATTGGATAAAAATTGTGACCTCTATAGGGTCCATAAGCTAAAAACGTGATTTTTCACACAATCAGGGCCATAATTCAAGAAGTTACGATCTGATATGCGCGAATATCGAAAGGAACAAAGATAAATTTCAAGTTTCATCAAAATCAGTTCAAAATTGTGGCCTTTAGAGGAAATGAAATGAAATGGGATTTAACGTCCTACTGTTCTGCTCCGAACTGGGCTAATGAAGACGGGCCTCTAGAGGATCCATAACCTTGATATACTATATTTTTACAGAGAGAGAGAGAGAGAGAAATGGGGTTTAACGTCCACTCGACACAAACTAGGTCATTTCGGGACTAACATATGGTTTTATTTTATTTCAATAATTCGCTTGCGCGTAGGGGTCTTTAGCAGTTGGAGGAAACAGGAACACCCGGAGAAAACCCACGAGGTTGGACAGGCGACCCGACCACGCCAGTTGACTCAATGACATTATCATACAGCACGCACGTGCTAACCATTCGCCCATCCCCCCCCCCCCAATATTTTTACACTATTTGCGTATGATGGGCTGCTATTTCGTCCAGCAATTTTGGTCCGATTTTCACGAAATTTGAACTCAACCATCATTAAGGTGTAACAGTGATATAAATCAGAACCAGCGGCTGCCAGGCAGGATACGCCCACATTTTCGAGAGATGGATAGAGAACAAGCTAAAAAGAAAGCGATTTTTCGTACAATCAGGTGCCATAATTCAGGTAGTTACTGTCCAATATGCGCGAATATCGAAAGAAACCGAGATCTTTGGGTTATAAACTAACATTTAAAGTTTCAACAAAATCGGATAAAAATTGTGACCTCTATAGGGTCCACAACCTTGATATACCATATTTTTACGCTATTTGAGAACGAACGGCGGCCATTTTGTCTGTCAATTTTGGGCCGATTTTCACGAAATTAAAACTCAATCGTCCTTAGGGTGTAACGGTGATATAATAATACGGTTTTTTAAATCGGATAAAAATTATGACCTCTATAGGGTCCACAAGCTAAAAACGCGATTTTTCGTACAATCATGGGCCATAATTCAGGAAATTACAGTCAGATATGCACGAATATCGAAAGGAACCGAGATCTTTGGGTTATAAACTTACATTTCAAGTTTCAACAAAATCGGATAAAAATTGTGACCTCTATAGGGTCCACAACCTTGATATACCATTTTCTTACGCTATTTGAGAACCAACGGCGACCATTTTGTCTGTCAATTTTGGGCCGATTTTCACAAAATTCGAATTCAGTCGTCCCTAGGGTGTAACAGTGATATAATAATACAATAATACGTTTGTTTAAATCAGGTTAAAATTATGACTTCTATAGGGTAAAAGCTAAAAACGTGATTTTTCGTACAATTAGGGGCCATAATTCAGGAAGTTACGGTCCGATATGCACTAATATCGAAAGGAACCGAGATCTTTGGGTTATAAACTTACATTTCAAGTTTCAACAAAATCGAATAAAAATTGTGACCCCTATAGGGTCCACAACCTTGATATACCATATTCTTACGTTATTTGGGAACGAACGGCGGCAATTTTGTCTGTCAATTTTAGGCCGATTTTCTTGAAATTCGAACTCAGTCATCCTTAGGGTGTAACGGTGATATAATAGAACGGTTTTTTTAAATCGAAATAACTTCTATAGGGTCCACAAGCTAAAAACATGATTTTTCGTACAATCAGGGGCCATAATTCAGAAAGTTACTGTTCGATATGCACGAATATCGAAAGGAACCGAGATCTTTGGGTTATAAACTTACATTTCAAGTTTCAACAAAATTGGATAAAAATTGTGACCCCTATTGGGTCCACAACCTTGATATACCATATTCTTACGCTATTTGGGAATGAACGGTTGCCATTTTGTCTGTCAATTTTGGGCCGATTTTCATGAAATTCAAACTCAGTCATCCTTAGGGTGTAACGGTGATATAATAGAACAGTTTTTTAAATCGGATAAAAATTATGACTTCTATTGGGTCCACAAGCTAAAAATGTCATTTTTCGTACAATCAGGGGCCATAATTCAGGAAGTTACTGTCCGATATGCGCGAATATTGAAAGGAACTGAGATCTTTGGGTTATAAACTTACATTTCAAGTTTCAACAAAATCGGATCAAAATTGTGACCTCTATAGGGTCCACAAGCTAAAAACGTGATGTTTCGTACAAACAGGGGCCATAATCCATGAAGTTTCGATCCGATACATGCCAATATCGAAGGCAGCCGAGATCTTTTGGGGATAAACTTATATTTCAAGTTTCGTCGAAATCGGATAAGAATTGTGACCTGTAGAGAGTCCACAAACAATTGTGGACGGACGGACATCCGGACGGACAGGGGCGACGGCATAATACATCCACATGAAAATTTGGGCGTATAATAAAATTGTGACCTGCATAGGGTCCACAAGCTAAAAAGATAGGTTGCCAGGCAACAAAACATACACCCACAGCAGCTAAATCGTCCGGGCAGTCAACAAGTGTTGTCGCATATTTTTACTTTTTTCGGTAATGAAATATTTATAATACACTAAAATCTGATTAAGAGTATCAACTCATGAAATAATTATCAGAAAACCATTAGAATTTGTTTGGTTTTTATAAAGTTCTAACCCATACTAACATTTAGTATACGAAGCTTTTAATATCATGGATTTAGCTGTTTAAGTCATAAAAATTCATTGAAAATCATTATACATGTACTTGTTCGTCTCAAGATCTTAAACTCTGTGTATCAATCTGAAGTCAATCGGATGATAACTTTAGCCTCTAGATCAAGGGCCATAACTTTGGCAGCAATCGGAAATCGTTGACCAGCGGCTGCCAGGCAGGATACGCCCACATTTTCGAGAGATGGATAGAGAACAAGCTAACAAGAAAGTGATTTTTCCTACTATCAAGGGCCATAATTCAGGAAATTACAATTCAATATGCGCAAATATCGAAAGGAACTGAGATCTTTGTGTTATAAACTTACATTTCAAGTTTCAACAAAATCGGATAAAAATTGTGACCTCTATAGGGTCCACAACCTTGATATACCATATTTTTCTGCTATTTGAGAACGAACAGCGGCCATTTTGTCTGTCAATTTTGGGTTGATTTTCATGAAATTCGAATTCAGTCGTCCTTAGGGTGTAACGGTGATATAATAATACGAGTTTTTAAATCGAATAAAAATTATGACTTCTATAGGGTCCACAAGCTAAAAACGCGATTTTTCGTATAATCAGGGGCCATAATTCAGGAAGTTATGGTCCGATATGCGCGAATATCGAAATGAACCGAGATGTTTGGGTTATAAACTAACATTTCAAGTTTCAACAAAATCGGATAAAAATTGTGACCTCTATAGGGTCCAAAAGCTAAAAACGTGATCGAATAAAAATTATGACTTCTATAGGGTCCACAAGCTAAAAACGCGATATTTCGTATAATCAGGGGCCATAATTCAGGAAGTTATGGTCCGATATGCGCGAATATCGAAAGGAACCGAGATGTTTGGGTTATAAACTAACATTTCAAGTTTCAACAAAATCGGATAAAAATTGTGACCTCTATGGGGTCCAAAAGCTAAAAACGTGATTTTTCGTACAAACAGGGGCCATAATCCATGAAGTTTCGATCTGATACATGCCAATATTGAAAGCAACCGAGATCTTTTGGAGATAGACCTATATTTCAAGTTTCGTCAAAATCGGATAAGAATTGTGACCTCTAGAGTGTCCACAAACAAATTGTACACAGACAGACGGACAGACGTCCGGACGGACAGCATAATACGTCCACATGAAAATGTGGGCGTATAAAAATCAATAGGATTCTTCGTCTCATGACCTCAAACACTGTGTATAAATTTAAAGTCAATTGGATATTAACTTAAGCCTCTAGAGCATTCACAAGATTTTTTGAAGTGATCAAGGGCCATAACTCTGGCAGTAGTTATCAAAAATCACTGAAAATGAATAGACTTCTTCGACTCATGACCTTAAACACTGTGTATAAATTTAAAGTCTATCGGATATTAACTTTAGCCTATAGAGCATCCACGAGATTTTTCAAAATGATCAAGGGCCATAACTTTGGCAGCAATCGGAAATTGCTGAAAATCAATAGGATTCTTCGTCTCATGACCTCAAACACTGTGTATAAATTTAAAGTCAATCGGATATTAACTTTAGCCTCTAGAGCATTCACAAGATTTTTTTGAAGTGATCAAGGGCCATAACTCTAGCAGTAATTTATCGGAAGTCGCTGAAAATCAATAGGATTCTTTGCCTCATGACATTAAACACTGTGTATAAATTTAAAATTAATCGTATATTAACTTTAGCCTCATTGCTTGTGGACGCCGAAACGCCAGACGGACGGGGGTGATGACAATATACGACCACATTTCAATGTGGGCGTATAAAAATTGTGACCTCTATAGGGTCCACAAGCTAAAAACACGATTTTTCGTACAATCGGGGGCCATAATCCATGAAGTTACGGTCCGATACATGCCAATATCGAAAAGAACCGAGATCTTAGGGAGATAAACCTATATTTCAAGTTTTGTTGAAATTGGATAAAAATTGTGACCTGTAGAGTGTCCACAAACATTTGTTAATTGACAGACAGGGGCGACAATATACATCCACATGAAAATATGGGCGTATAAAAACACTAATAAAATTGAGTCTGAAATTTAAAAATGTATATAAACAAAAAGGTTTATTTACCTGCTCAGTTGATTCTTGTTGGACGTGTGATGATGATGTTGAAGATGAAGTATCTGATGACTGTATTTCACCTTTCTGTTAATACAAATAATATAGTAGTATTTTTATTGGCAATTTGTTAATCAGAACAGATAAAGGAAATTCATGATTTAACATCTCATGGACACTTTAATTTATTCCTTTTAAGACCACCAGAGCATTTTTTACATAAAAGATAAACATAGAATTGACAAGCAATGAAAAATACTCTCAACAGAAACAGAAGATAATGAAATATGAAATGGCTGCAACGACTGTAATATGACAAGAGGCAAAGAAGGCTAGGCGTTTGTTTTGCCAAATTTACTGACTAAATATTAACAAAAAAGTGGGTGTGACACTGCCCCTAAGGGTCAGAGCATGCACCAAAATAAATAATTGCTGCCCTTACGGTTTAAGGAATAAATATGCCAAGTTCCGAGATGATCCATTCAGAATTCCAGCCTGTAGACAGGCTGAGCCTGTAGACAAAAAACACAAAAATTGTCTGTGACTCTGCCCCTGGCGGTTGGACATGGACCAATATAAATAGGTACAAGCCTATGTTGGATTATGCCGAAATGGAACAAGATCAGTTAATAATTTAACCTGTAGAGTATTTACAGACAAAATACTAACCAAAAAATGTGTGCGCCACTTCCCAAGTGGGTCGGATCATGAAATAAGTATATCAAGTTTCAAGATGATCCATTCAGAATTGCGGCCTGTATGCAGTGTATGCGTGGCTAATAGTTGCCATCCGTAGGCTATAAGAAATACATGTGCCAAGTTCCAAAATGATCCATTCAGAATTCCAGCCGGTAAGACAAAAAACACAAAAATTGTTTGTCGCTCTTGCCCATGGCGGTTGGACATGGACCATTAAATAGCAATAACACTATTGGATTATGCCGAAATGGAACAAGATCAGTTAATAATTGTAACCTGTAGAGTATTTACAGACAAAATACAAACCCAAAAATGGGTGTGGCACTTCCCAAGTGGGTCGGATCATGAAATAAGTATATCAAGTTTCAAGATGATCCACTCAGAATTGCGGCCTTTATACTATAAACAGAAAAATCTTGAGTGGCTAACAGTTGCCATCCTTAGGCTATAAGAAATACATGTGCCAAGATCCAAAATGATCCATTCAGAATTCCAGTCTGTAGACAAAAAACACAACCAGCTGCTGCCAGGCAGGATACGCCCACATTTTCGAGAGATGGATAGAGAACAAGCTAAAAAGAAAGCGATTTTTCGTACAATCAGGGGCCATAATTCAGGAAGTTACGGTCCGATATGCACGAATATCGAAAGGAACCGAGATCTTTGGATTATAAACTTACATTTCAAGTTTCAACAAAATCGGATAAAAATTGTGACCTCTATAGGGTCCACAATCTTGATATACCATATTCTTACGCTAATTGAGAACGAACGGTCCGATATGCACGAATATCGAAAGGAACCGAGATCTTTGGATTATAAACTTACATTTCAAGTTTCAACAAAATCGGATAAAAATTGTGACCTCTATAGGGTCCACAATCTTGATATACCATATTTTTAAGCTAATTGAGAACGAACGGCGGCCATTTTGACTGTCAATTTTGGGGCGATTTTCAAAAAATTCAAACTCAACTGTCCTTAGGGTGGAACGGTAATATAATAATACGTTTTTTTAAATCGGATAAAAATTATGACCTCTAATGGGTCCACAAGCTAAAAACATGATTTTTCGTACAATCAGGGGCAATAATTCAGGAAGTTAAGGTACGATATGGGCAAATATCGAAAGGAACCAAGATCTTTGGGTTATAAACTTACATTTCAAGTTTCAACAAAATCGAATAAAAATTGTGACCTCTATAGGGTCCACAACCTTAATATACCATATTTTTCTGCTATTTGAGAACGAACAGCGGCCATTTTGTCTGTCAATTTTGGGTTGATTTTCATGAAATTCGAATTCAGTCGTCCTTAGGGTGTAACGGTGATATAATAATACGAGTTTTTAAATCGAATAAAAATTATGACCTCTATAGGGTCCACAAGCTAAAAACGCGATTTTTCGTACAATCAGGGACCACAATTCCGGAAGTTACGGTCCGATATGGGCGAATATCGAAAGGAACCGAGATCTTTGGGTTATAAACTGACATTTCAAGTTTCAACAAAATCGGATAAAAATTGTCACCTCTATAGGGTCCACAACCTTGATATACCATATTTTTACGATATCTGAGAACGAACGGCGGCCATTTTGTCTGTCAATTTTGGGACGATTTTCATGAAATTCAAACTCATTCATCCTTAGGGAGTAACGGTGATATAATAATACGGTTTTTTAAATCGGATAAAAATTATTACCTCTATAGGGTCCACAATCTTGATATACCATATTTTTACGCTAATTGAGAACGAACGGTCCGATATGCACGAATATCGAAAGGAACCAAGATCTTTGGATTATAAACTTACATTTCAAGTTTCAACAAAATCGGATAAAAATTGTGACCTCTATAGGGTCCACAATCTTGATATACCATATTTTTAAGCTAATTGAGAACAACGGCGGCCATTTTGACTGTCAATTTTGGGGCGATTTTCACAAAATTCAAACTCAACTGTCCTTAGGGTGTAACGGTAATATAATAATATGTTTTTTTAAATCGGATAAAAATTATGACCTCTAATGGGTCCACAAGCTAAAAACATGATTTTTCATACAATCAGGGGCAATAATTCAGGAAGTTACGGTACGATATGGGCGAATATCGAAAGGAACCCAGATCTTTGGTTTATAAACTCACATTTCAAGTTTCAACAAAATCGGATAAAAATTGTGACCTCTATAGGGTGCACAATCTTGATATACCATATTTTTACGCTAATTGAGAACGAACGGTCCGATATGCACGAATATCGAAAGGAACCGGGATCTTTGGATTATAAACTTGCATTTCAAGTTTCAACAAAATCGGATAAAAATTGTGACCTCTATAGGGTCCACAATCTTGATATACCATATTTTTAAGCTAATTGAGAACAACGGCGGCCATTTTGACTGTCAATTTTGGGGCGATTTTCACAAAATTCAAACTCAACTGTCCTTAGGGTGTAACGGTAATATAATAATATGTTTTTTTAAATCGGATAAAAATTATGACCTCTAATGGGTCCACAAGCTAAAAACATGATTTTTCATACAATCAGGGGCAATAATTCAGGAAGTTACGGTACGATATGGGCGAATATCGAAAGGAACCCAGATCTTTGGTTTATAAACTCACATTTCAAGTTTCAACAAAATTGGATAAAAATTGTGACCTCTATAGGGTGCACAATCTTGATATACCATATTTTTACGCTAATTGAGAACGAACGGTCCGATATGCACGAATATCGAAAGGAACCGGGATCTTTGGATTATAAACTTGCATTTCAAGTTTCAACAAAATCGGATAAAAATTGTGACCTCTATAGGGTCCACAATCTTGATATACCATATTTTTAAGCTAATTGAGAACAACGGCGGCCATTTTGACTGTCAATTTTGGGGCGATTTTCACAAAATTCAAACTCAACTGTCCTTAGGGTGGAACAGTAATATAATAATATGTTTTTTTAAATCGGATAAAAATTATGACCTCTAATGGGTCCACAAGCTAAAAACATGATTTTTCGTACAATCAGGGGCAATAATTCAGGAAGTTACGGTACGATATGGGCAAATATCGAAAGGAACCGAGATCTTTGGGTTATAAACTTACATTTCAAGTTTCAACAAAATCGGATAAAAATTGTGACCTCTATAGGGTCCACAACCTTGATATACCATATTTTTACGCTATTTGAGAACGAACTGCGGCCATTTTGTCTGTCAATTTTGGTCCGATTTTCATGAAATTCAAAGTCATTCATCCTTAGGGTGTAACGGTGATATAATATTACGTTTTTTTAAATCGGATAAAAATTATGACCTCTATAGGGTCCACAAGCTAAAAACGCGATTTTTCGTACAATCAGGGACAACAATTCCGGAAGTTACGGTCCGATATGGGCGAATATCGAAAGGAACCGAGATCTTTGGGTTATAAACTTACATTTCAAGTTTCAACAAAATCGGATAAAAATTGTGACCTTTATAGGATCCACAAGCTAAAAACACGATTTTTCGTACAATCAGGGGCCATAATTCAGAAATTTACGGTCCGATATGCGCGAATATCGAAAGGAACCGAGACCTTTGGATATAAACTTACATTTCAAGTTTCAACAAAATCGGATAAAGATTGTGACCTCTATAGGGTCAACAACCTTGATATACCATATTTTTACGCTATTTGAGAACGAACAGCGGCCATTTTGTCTGTCAGTTTTGAGCCAATTTTCACAAAATTCGGACTCAGCCGTCCTTAGCGTTAACGGCGATATAATAATACGTTTTTTTAAATCGGATAAAAATTATGACCTCTATAGCGTCCACAAGCTAAAAACTTGATTTTTCGTACAATAGGGGGTCATAATTCAGGAAGTTACAGTCCGATATGCGCGAATATCAGAAGGAACCAAGATCTTTGGGTTATAAACTTACATTTCAAGTTTCAACAAAATCGGATAAAAATTGTGACCTCTATAGGGTCAACAACCTTGATATACCATATTTTTACGCTATTTGAGAACGAACAGCGGCCATTTTGTCTGTCAGTTTTGAGCCGATTTTCACAAAATTCGGACTCAGCCGTCCTTAGCGTTTAACGGCGATATAATAATACGTTTTTTTAAATCGGATAAAAATTATGACCTCTATAGCGTCCACAAGCTAAAAACACGATTTTTTGTACAATCAAGGGCCATAATTCATGAAGTTATGGTCCGATATGTGCAAATATCGAAAGGAACCAAGATCTTTTGGTTATAAACTTACATTTCAAGTTTCAACAAAATCAGATAAAAATTGTGACCTGTATAGGGTCCACAACCTTGATATACCATATTTTTACGTTATTTGAGAACGAAGGGCGGTCATTTTGTCTATCAGTTTTGGGCCG